CCCCAAACTGCCCAGGGTTTGCAACCTGTCACTGCAGTTTCTTTAGAAGGGGGAAAGTGAAAAGAAAATCAATATTAGGAGATACTTGAGATGTCATTGCTTAACTTAAAATTATTTTTTAAATATACAATTGTGTTTTGAAAAATCCAGTCACCGGAAGCACTGGCACTCCTTTTTGACATCAATAAACTTTCTACCAACTAGAAAAGAAACTTTCCCTATAAGGTGGCAAGGAGTAGGGGATCTAGAAAGGAGATCTTTCGGAATACTGACGTATCAAACTTTCCTGTTGTCGAGGGAGCTACTCACCTCTTTCCAGCTTTTTAGGTAGGTTTTTGGGATGAATGAAAGTTGCCTGTCATACCACTGCTTTAATTTAACCCTTTCAGCACAGGAAAGAGAGAAGAGAGTTTAGAAGTGATAAGTACTGAAGTCTAGGAAGCCCAATTTGACCCATTTGACAGTATCAGAAGGTTTTCAGGCATACTTTAAGCCTTTCAACTCCAGACTATGGCACAGACATGTTGGTAAAAAAGGAAGGTGAACAAAATACATATACTTTCTCGCTTCTTCCTCCCTACTCTTCTATCTGGGATTTAAAAGGTTGGTATTTCTCAAACCAAAGGTGGTGGACAGGTGTTGGGCTGAGAGAAGCCAGATGTTTCACCCACCCAGAGCCTCCTGTCCCTCTTTACAAAAGGCTCTCCTAGAGTTCATCTGGAGAGGACTGCGGTGACCTCAGCACTGGATGGACAAACAGCAGTGTTTTCAGGGGTGTCAGCCATCCTGCTTGTGGTTCCACAGCCTGAGAGGAGGACAGTCAACGCCATATAAACATATAAACTGAGCATCCCATAAACCCTGCCAGCATGTCTCTGTTCTTTATTTTTCCTTCCCTCTACATTTCCCCACTTAACATTACTCCTTTCTCATTTTCCTTTTTCTTGGAAACAAATCAAAACCCCCAAACTACCAAGCATCCTCTATGGTCATCAGACTGTGGCCAACCACCGACACCCCACAAAAAAGGGGCACCTGAAAGAGATTCGAACCCCTAAGCGATGGGCCTCGGAGGCCCCAGACTTCCTTACTTCTCTGGGGTCTTACCTGGGTCTGACGCTGCTGCTTCAACTCTGCTGCTGCTGCAGCTTTTGTGGGCTCTTCTGTGAAATAGTTTTCAAGTTTTCGTTTTTCTTTTTTAAGCTTGTGGAGAACTTTTGGATGCAATCTAGTTTTGGTGGCAAAAAGGAAACGGTTTCTGTGGGAAAGGGAAGCTAATAAGGGAGGAAGGGAACCTTGTCTGCAGACACTCACTTGCCCAGGACTCAGCACTGGGCCTCTTTTGCCAGGGGACAGAGGCTGGTTCTGGGATCTCTGGCTGAAAGGCTTGCTCTCTGGGTGCCAGGATTTCACCAAGGGTGGTGTGGTGAGGGGGAGGGAAAAGGAGGGAGGGAGGGAGGGAGGGAGAGGAGAGAGATGGGCACTGGATTTTTAAAGAGATCCCGAAATAATGACTTTTATAAGAGTCCAGGCATTCAAAGAGGTGTGCTCAAGGACATGAGTGCATTCGTGCCAAGGGGAATGTCTTTTATGGTAAATTAACTCCAGTTAAATTGAATATTTGTTCAAAGGGAAACTCCAGTAATTTAAGCTGCTATTATCAGTAGCTCGCCCACCACTCCCAACGCAGAGAATCTGGTGTGGGGACGAGAAAAGTGATGCAGGGTAATGTGCAATACGGTGATACTTGGGATTTTTTTTTTTAAATCTACGATGAGGTTGCCTAAAAATTTGAGAGAATGAATATTTCTTCGGATTCACCTCGACCATGACCTTATTTCTTTCATCTATAAAGACTGTCAACTTTATCCCAGCTTTTCAAAAAGAAGAAATGACCCACACAAAGGAAATGAACGTTGTCAGAACGTTGATAGGAGCATTCGCCTGAGGGTGGGGTGGGTGGGGAGCAAGAAGGCTGCTCCCAGCGGTGTGTGCCCTAAAGGGTTAATTTGAGGGAGTTCTAGCAATTTTCCCGACTTTACCGGTCTTCCCAGACCCCTCGCCCACCCCCCACCGGCCTCCCCCCCAACCCTGCGGGCCTTTCTTCTCTAGGCTCTAGGTTTACGGGGGCTGCAGCTGGTAGACTTGGCAAGCTCGCCTCATTAAGAGCGCTCTTTGAAAATGGACTGTGTTTGAGCATTTCCCTAATGAGGACAGGACGGGGTTAAAAAGTGACCATTTCATGGTTGACTTGAACCTGCCTACTTTTCTTGATGTGTCGTAGTGAAATGCTTGATGTGGATAACTCCCACTTGGTGAAGGAAAAAGTCACTGGTTCCTTCAGGTCCACTGGGGCGGGGGGCGCTGGGCAGAAGAGGGTTGAAGGAGAGAGAGAAGAAAGTTGAAGGAAAAATCGAGACGGAGCAAGAATAGGAAAGAGGAAAGAGGACTGGCGGAGAGCCTCGAAATGCCCCCACAGCGGAGGTGGGAGCGGGGAACCCAGCAAGCGAGGCTCCTTCCCGGCCCCAACCACTCCCCGCTGACCCCCTAGGTGGACGCGGAGCCCCCGCCGCTCACTTTTCCTCTCCCCATTGTCTGGGCAGCCTTGGCTGCCACCACTGCCCCACCCACCCCAGGCTGAAAACCCGAGTTTGGGGGGCGGAGTGTGTGTGTGCGTGTGGCGGGGGGCGGTGTAGAAGGATGCCTGGCCAACCGCTTCTCCCGAAAGGCCCGAAATCAAGTTCATTCTCTCCAGGCTGCAGCCGCGCGGCGGGTGGGGGCGGGGCGGCCCCTCGCGGCGAGGACGCGCAGGAGCGCAGGCTCCGGTTAGCTGCCTCTGGAGGACTG